TCTTTATTTTTTCAAACATCTAATATATTAAATAAAACTCAGAATTACAAAGTTCGGTTAGCCAACGGGCTAGCTCTTATATTATACAAAGTCTTGTTATAAAATCTATAAAACCAGCCTTGATGTTGCATGTTGTTCTCAAAGGCGGTGGTTATAAAATCTAAAATAAATGTATTGTTCATATACAGTTAACAAACAAGATACGAACTTTACAATATGTGTGTTAATAAACTAGAAATATACAGTTAGTAATTTTGTTTTTCTTTATAATGAATATAAAAAATGCATATTACACGGTTAATAAACTAGAAATAAACAAGATCACTACTGTACAATGTATAGTTAATAAATATTATATAAACTGTATGTCATGAAAGTTATTAAATGAAGAAAAATTGTACAAGAAATATAGTGAATGTCCTTTCTCCCGTTTTTTCGGCATCGTGTGAATGTGTAAGGACCGTTTACAAAATTGTAAAAAAGTGATGGGCCGGTTGAAACAAATCCGGAAATAAACATAACATTAATTAAATATCTGAATTATACCATAATTAATAAATTTTGACTTGGTAAGACATTATTAAAAAAAAATTGCATAAAAGTATTTTTGTTGTGTAAAAATGTAGCAAAAGTTTTGGAGTAAATTTTTGTCTATAAATAAAATAAAAGGGTAAAATTTCTTCTATTTTTTTTTTTTATTATTTCAATGCTGGGCCTTTCAATAGACGGTTGGTTTGGGCCGTTGAGCTTTCACTTTTTGGGCCTGTTAGAATATGTGTTAAAAAACGAAATTTGTTATTTGTTGACAGTGTGTGGTGTTGGGAAAACTAGGGTTTTCAAACATTTTTTTTTTTTTTTAAATCTGCGGCTAGTCGTACAGAACCATGGGAATCCACTCAACCACCTCCATTCTACTAGCTAACGCCAAATCCAGATTGAAATTCGGATCCAATATTTTCCATCGGGTTTGCGTTTTAGGTGGCAATACTACGGCGCCGGAGACGGCGTTGAAGCATTACAACAAAGAAAATCTCATGCTTATGGTGCGACGTGTCCTCAACGGAACCTGTGATTACTGTGCAATCTCGACGGACAACTCGTTCCGACCGGTAACAGACAGTCTTCCCAAATTATCTCTACTCAGAGCTGAAAATTACCATCCACATTACCTGAACGCCGATTATATTGTTCGAGCGTGTTCCAACAGCAAATGGATGTTGTTGACATGTCAAAAATTGCCTGGAACTCCGTACGAGCTTCTTTGGGACCCGAAATCCGGCGAGATGTTGTTGACATGTCAAAAATTGCCTGGAACTCCGTACGAGCTTCTTTGGGACCCGAAATCCGGCGAGATTAAACGGCTTCCTCCTTCTGCAGTTTGGCCTCTCTCATTGATGTAGGGAGAACGTACGAGTGAGAAGGATAAACGAACAAGATATTCTCTCTCGTAAAACACGCAAAACTCACAATCAATTCATATTCTTATTCAAAATCAACTGACTAAAACAATATATGATGAGCCCTTTAAATAAGACTCCAAAACCCTATTCCTAACTTGTCCAACAAGACAAAATCTGTAATAATTTTTAATTCCTAACTTATTCACCAAGATACATAATAATAATAATAATAATAATAATAATAATAATAATAATAATAATAATAATAATAATAATAATAATAATAACAATCCTAATAATTAATGTCT